TCTGCAGTTTAATTTTATGCAATCATTTAAAAAGCGTAGTTCTTTTAAAAAAGAAATTCTATTCTGAATCTTCTAAAACAATGAATTGATTTCTAAATCATTTGAAGGTTCTTCATGTTATGTCTGACTAAATAACATAAATGTGTGTTTCATGCGTTAAGATGCTAGTTCAGAAGCTTTAGGGGAAACTTATAAATGTGATGGGGGCAGGTGGATGAGGCGCCCGCTCCATCTCACTGACATTCTGCCTTTCAGATGATGGCCCCTCATTACCAACCAAACAGAACGAGGAGTTCCGGCCCTTTATTCGAAGGCTTCCAGAGTTTAAATTTTGGTGAGTTAATTCCTAAGGGTAGTTGAGAAAGATATTTGTCCTCAGTGTGGCTAATAAGAGTGAGAACAAAGGGTTTTTGTTTTCGTTAGGCAGCAAAGACTTCTGAAAGAAACGAGAGTTTTAGTGTGTGTGTGTGTTTTGAACATTCATCCACAATGCGAGTTGCTGTCCTTGGCGGGGCGTGGAGGCAGGTCACGGGCCCCTGCAGGAGAGCCCAGTGCCTGGTGGCCCTTTGGAACTAGCCGAAGAGAAGCTGCTTCCGGGGCGGAGGGTCCAGGGTGTGTTCGGACGTGGGCCTCGGGAGGGATGCGTGCCCAGGCTCTGGCTGCCCTGCACAGATGGGCAGGCCTGTGTGCTGCCCCTCGCACCACACCCCCTCTGGTTGCTGGCACGAGTGGACCACGTCCCCCGCCCTCCTGCTCAGGGTGCCTGCACAGAGGCAGGGCTGGTCCAGCCTTGGGGCAGTCTGCTTTCACTGCAAGTGTGTGTTGTGGGGTGGGCTTGGATGGGACTTGGCTTGTCCCCCAGGCCTCCTGGAGGTGGTGACATCTGTGTGATGTTGCATGAGGATGCATGTGACAGGTGGACAGGTGACCCCTGCTGTCATGCGTGAAGCATGCATGAAGGGGACCCCCACCACATGAAGGCTGTGACCTCGTCTGTCCTCTATTTGGTGGAGCAAAAACCTGAAGGGAAAAGCTGCCACACCTTTACTTTGTGTTCTTGGGGCTGTGTGTGGGATGTGGCAGGCACTCTGCAAGTCTGCCGGCTGGGCGGGAAGGGCTGGAGTGAGGGCACTGCTGGGGAGGGAGCAGAAGGCAGGCAAGACGGCCCTGCACGTCCCCCGAGGAAGTTGGCCTTTGTCCTGTAGGAAAGGGGAGTGCTGAGGAGCATTTTCAGTAGCCATGAGTCCGGTGGGCTGGGCGCTGAGCTGGAGGGAGCCGCCTGGGTGCCGCCAGGATCTCCTCAGCGATGCACAGCCCAGGGGAGGGGCCTGCCAGGTGGCAGACGAGAGACGCCCAAGTTGGCCTGAGCAGTCGCACCTCTTTGCTGAATGTTTCACACTCTTATTTTGGAAGGAAACTGGGGCCTTTCAAGGGACTGAGGGAATGCCGTGTTTGTAGTTACATGCTGTGCGCTCTGTAGGAAACACACACCGCGCCCCTACTGCCCCAAGTAGGGATGCTGCTGTGGCCCCAGGTGGCGGGGCAGCTGGTGGCACTGATCTCCTCTCCTACTTTAAGGCATGCGGCGACCAAGGGCATCCTCGTGGCCATGGCCTGCACCTTCTTTGAGGCTTTCAATGTCCCGGTGTTCTGGCCCATCCTGGTGATGTACTTCATCATGCTTTTCTGTATCACCATGAAGAGGCAAATAAAGGTGAGTGCGGGTAGGCACCGCTGCCCTGGGAGGTGCTGAGAGCCCCGCCTGGGTCTTGTTTGTCTGTGCTTGGAGCGTCCCGAAGCTCTGTGCAACAGGGACACGGCACAGTCCCTTTCCGCCAACACATACCTGTCCCAACGGTGCAGCTGTCGGGCACACAAACCGCTCCCCGGGGGCCTGGTGGGAGAGCCCTCGGGTCTGCCGTGCTGTCCTCACTGGCATGTCCTGGGGGCACAGAGCCCAGGGCCCACCGGCCAGTGTGTGTTATGCCAACATTACCCTCAAACAGCCCCCAGAGCAGCTTTATCCCCACTCCTCTGGGTATATCATAGGGGTCCCCAGCCGAGCCCTAGCCCTTCCTGCATGCAAGGGGTCAGGAAACCTTTCCCAGACCCTTGGGATTTCCAGCGAGCTTGGCCAGCTCAGTGGGCTCTGGAGGGTTCTGCTGTGTCACTGGTGGGGAGGGGACTAGAAGCTTATTGGAACCCTGGTTTCCTTGCCCTGTGTGCAGAGAAGATCAGGATTCAGATTTGGAGAAAACATAGTTCATCGTGAAGCCACTCTAAAACGAGTCTGTTTGTCCCCAGCACATGATAAAGTACCGGTACATCCCGTTCACGCACGGCAAGAGGACGTACAAGGGGAAGGAGGACGCAGGCAAGACGTTTGCGAGCTAGGTGCTCGGCCGGACCCACCACAGAGTCTGAGGACGGTTCTGAGCCATTGTAACAATGCCTTCTTCCTTCACATAAAGTAGTTGATTTCGAGGGAGTCGAATTTTCTTTTTAAAAAGGAGCTTCAATGATTTGTAACTGAAATATCAGGTTCTTGAAGAAACTGACATTTAAACCAAATTGCATTGATTTATTTTTCAGTGACATTCAAGTGTTCAAATGGACAGAATTCTAGTAAACTGCTGCCTGGGCGGACAGCCGGGTGGGGGCGTGGGGAGGGGCGGGCGGTCTCTGTTGCTGGGCGGCCGTGGAACAGACCTACACGGAAGGAGCCGGGTTGTGCCCCAGCTGCCCCCACCCTGGACGCCCGTGGCCACATCACCCAGCTGGAGGATGATGCTAACCTGATTCCTGCGTGTTGGAAGAACATTTGAAAGGTGATTTCCAAGTAACTCTGGGGTTCTAATGCCAGTTTCCCACTTCCATCTCACCAGAGATGTTTAAAGTTGGTGTCTTATCATAATGACTCAAAACTTTGTTCTTAATTACCATGATTGCTTTTGAGGGCCTGGAATTATAAATATATATATTATATTTTAATTGTTTGGAATTATTTTGACACATTTGATACCTGAAGAGTTGTTTTTGATTAATTTGAAGTTGTTCTCATGCAGCGGCCCCTTTACAGAAACAGTGGGCAAGGGCAGACAGTTTGTGGGTTTTCACACACGGCTTCTCACTTTCTACGGGAAAACAGAACTCTGACCCACATGTCAACTTTTTTGATGTGATAAAAACAAATACTCGTAAACATTTTACTAAGTGACTTTTTAATTCCAACTTTATTAAAGACAGTGTCCCCTTTCTTGTGGAGTCTTTATCTGAAACACGACAGCTTGCTGCCCGTGAGCAAGCACTGAGCTGGGCCGGTCACTGGGGCACTGGTGCTGAGGGGCAGGCCCAGGGTGTCCTCCTGGGCTCAGGCACTGCAGACTTGTAGCTCTCTGCAGGTTCCCGTCTGTCTTAGGGCTTTAGGCACTGAATGTGCTTATTGTCTGGCTTTTTTGGGCCAATTTTTACAGATATCTGAAGTTGAGCTCCTCTTGCTTTTAAGAGGCCATACGAAGACCTCTTACATACCTGATCCTGTATTTTAATCTCAGTACTTAAATGATATTCTGGATCAGTATCTTTGATACAATATTGTGGCACGTGAGATGTTGAAACCCTGGACACTTTTATTTTTCATACAGTTTTCCTGGTAAATGCTCAGGCCTAAAATGTGATGGGAAATGGTCTGCGCTTGGTCAGGGTATACATAAAGGGCCTCAGGAAGCGTGGGGCCTCTCTCTCGGGGCTCCTCAGTCTGGCCTGTGGTCACGGTGACCTGTCTCAGTTGGCCGGCCTGTAGTAACCAAGGAGCGTGGAGCGATGCATTCCTGGACGACTCTGTCTGCTCAGCTCCTGGAATGGTCTGCATAGGCCTCAGCCAGAAGCCTGGGCTGCAGCCTCGCACAGGGGGCGGGACATCCTGACCACAGGTTCTTGCCCTTTATGAAACGTGATCTTCAGTTCACCCTGACAGCCTTCTTAACATACCTACACTCCTGTGGAGTCCGTTTCTTAAGAGAGCTTATGGCAAAGTCCGGTCTCCGGCACAAGTTAAATACTTTTAAAGACCTGAAAGTAACAAAAAGGTGACAGGAAGTAGGCTGGACACAGCGGTGACCTGGTGTGAGCAGCCAGCCTGCCCAGGCCCCGGGAGCTGAGCTCTGAGAGGCAGCTATGGGTTAGGTGTTCAGAAAGTGGAGAACCATGCTCTACACCGTGGGGCTCTGAGCAGACCCCAGCAAAACGCAGACTTCCGTTTTCTAAAATGGGAAACAAACTGCAACATGTATTAAAAGGTATGAGCCACGCATCTCAGGTGGAGATACAGCTCCTTGGGAGTCTTTGTACTCCCGTGAACAGACATGGCCGAGCGACCAGAAGCCTGCCTCTGATGAGGGCAACATTTCCAGGTCGTTGGGGCGGGGTGGATTGGCCAGTGGGTAAGCCCTGCTGTCCGCTGTTCCCCACACTTGCCTATTCAGGCCAAACCCCGACTGTGTGCCTGATACAGACTCATTTTCTCATCACGTGAATGGCTGATCCCATTTCCGAAGCTAACTTTCACCTGTATGGTTTGGGGATGGGATGAAAGCAACCTGGTCCAACAGAGTCCGGCTCCTGAAGAAGTGACCCAGATGCACCACAGTGGGGGTGTGGTGCGGCCCCCCGGCAGGCTCGGCTCCAGCTGCTGCTTGCCCTCTGTGCTGTGGGCCCACACTCAGCCCTGAGGCCTCGGACCTGCCATCGTGCAGGCAGATCCAGCCTCTCCCCGAGCTGCTGGTGTAGTTTATGTGACAGGAAATGAAATCTCAGAATTTAATGATTTCTGTGCAAGTAAAGTTAACCTTGAGAACAGATGGAGTTTCTCTCCTGATACCAAGGAAGAGTCCTGGGGTCCTCTGTCCTCGGTCAGGTTAGCGATAGTGCCGCAGGTAGACGAGCTTCTGGGGAGGGAACTTCTCCCTGCAGAGAGGGCACTCCGTCTGCGAAGGGGAGGAGGGGCATGTAGGCTGTGGCCAGCACAGCCCCCGCCACAGGCCCTCCCACACCGGCATCTGCAGTAACCCGTGGGACGTGCACACGTGTCTATTAACTTCAAATGGAGACCATTTCCAAAAAGCACTTTTTTCAGAAGTCACAAACCTGAAGGGAAGGCCTTAACCCTGGGGTAGTGGGGGAGTGGAGCCGGGAGCAGTGACCAGGCCAAGGAGGCAGCTTGTCTGTCCGTGTGGTGACGGGGCTGGCGACGGGCGCTCGTGGCCGCTATGTTGGCTTGTGTTGAGAGGAGGGTTGTGTTGAGAGGAGCACACGGGGCCCCGTCTGGCTCAGTCCCAGTGGCCCCGCCCCTAGGGGCCGGTCAGATTCTCTCTTGTCCCCAGGAAGGTCTGCTGGTCTCCCACTAGGTGTTCCTGCCTGGGGCCAGCCGCTTACAGGAGGCGGCACCTGTGTTCTTGAGGGAATCCCTCAGGATGGGGAGCAGGGGCCCCAAAGTGGAGGCTGTGTGCCAATCCAGTGGGACCCACATGGTGCAGACATTTCACAGGTGCTGATTCTAAGTCAGCTGCAGCCAGGCTCTGAGGGCACGGCCACTGTGGACCCCGGACACAGGCTCTGAGGAATGCCCCTTGACCAACCGCTGGAGGTGAATGTCCTCAAGAAAGAGGACGGGGCGTTTAAACTGTGAGGCACACATCCCGCCCTCGTTTACCTACCTCACCTGTGCAGCCCTCCCCACCCTCCGCCCTGAGAAGGCTGGATTTGGGCTGAGCCTGGGTGGCAGGGCTGGTGGGGGCCCAGGAACCCCGGCCCTCCCTGGAGTCCGCGTGGAGGACCCGGCCTCCACCCGAGGTCTCAAAAGGCTGGAGTAGGTGACTCTGCATCCTGAGGGCTGGCATCTGTCTAGCTGGAGAGGGCCGTGTGTGTGCAGGCGAGCCGGGCTTCCAAGCAGCGGCAGGGTCGGGGGGAGACTCTAGGAATGGAACCTCAGGGCCGGGCTGCTGTCCCCACCTCCCAGCAAGGCCTCTGGATGCACAACTGTAGCACCCTGACTCCAGGTATGTCCCGTAAACGGCTCACCTGGGAGCTTTAGAAAGAGGCCTGCCTTCCCATCCCCTCCTAGGATGTGTCTGGGCCAGGCTTCCTGATGCCTGGGCAGCCGCCTGGGCTGGCCTGTGCACGTGCTCCTGGAGCCCGTGCTCTCGAATCACAGCTGCTGACCCTGGGCGCACCCACCTTGGTGTCGCACCACTGGGTGATGCACTCCCAGCAGAAGAGGTGGCCGCAGGGCGTGGCTGTGGAGTGTCTGCGTTCCTCCAGGCACAGCGTACACGTGGGGTTTCTGGAAACAGCTTTCTCTTCCATGTGGCTCCTGGAGGTGGGGCAGGGAGACCCAAAATTTACCTCAAGAGTCCTGGCAATGCCTGCCCAGCCCCCACCCCTGCCCCGAGCTAGGGCCCCACACCCTCCCGCCGTCCCCACACCTGTGCTGAGACAGGCCGCGGTGCAGCTTCCACTCCCGCCGGGCGCGCTGCCGCTGCCCGAAGCCGTGCAGCTGCAGGCCCACGGACAGCGCCAGGTGTAGTAGGGACGCGAGCCCCAGCAGCCTGTAGCTGTCTCGAGCCCTCAGGTCCTCTGTAGCTGGGCAGCGGACGCGAAGCTGTCAAGGACCCCAAGGGACAGTCACACGATCGGCTGGCACAACGCGCTGAGCAGCCTGGGCACCAGGCCACCCCCTGGCAGTAGAGTGCCCCATCGAATGACGCCAAAACCTGCCCTCCTGGCACAAGGTGGGGGGACAGAGAGTGATCATGGGGCCTCTTTGCTGAGTGAGGAGGGCAGGAGCACCCTGTAAGGTCTGAGCACCAAGTGGGGGCCGCTGCTGGACAGCTCGGGGCCTCACTTCCAAGGGGACTGAGTGAGTGCTGAGTGAGGGCAAGGAAAACTGCCCAGACTCCCAGTCTGCAGTCCCTGTGGTTGCAGGCGAGGATTTGGGGGGTGGGGAGGTACACTGGGGGACTCACATCTCAGAAAAGGTACCGGCAAAGAACCCGGAGAAAAACAGCACGGCGGGGGGGGGGTCGGAGGAAAAGCCCCCCAGGCAGATGCCGTTAACCAGCTTTTCTACCACACGAACAGAGAAGCTCCCGGCTTTTAGCAGGACGCCTGGCTCCCCCCTTGACTCAAGACCACCCAGATGACACTGCGGCTAGCGATGTGCCTGACGTCAAGAGAAAGTCCGCTGCCCTCCATTCTGGTCTCCCTCCCCTAAGCTGGGAGCCCCCCAGCCAGGCCCCATGTGCCCACGCAGAGAAGGCCGCTAGAGAGCAAAAGCCCCCTGTCTGGGTTGAGGCTGTTTTTCCGGCCCTTTGCCACAGCAGCTCAGCACACACCCTGGCTTACGCCGGGGCCATCAGCTCTCATGAGCGTGCACGCTGAGGGCTGAGGCTGGAGAGGGGAGAGGCAGGTGCTCAGGACAGTGCTGCCAAGTGAGGCGAGAAAGCGGGTGACCCTCTGGTGATCAGGGGCCGGAATTGAGACTTTCTGGGTGAATCTGGAAGCAAAGGCACCAGGTGAGAAACAGGATGAAAAGTGGGACTGCTTGGCAGGCTCAGTCCAGGGAAGGTCCTGGCAGTGACAGGAGGCATCGCTACACCTGACCCTCGGGCAGGGCAGCTGGGAAGGAGCTGGCGTGGGGCCCGGGGGCCTGGAGCCTCGGTGGCTTCTCAGAGTCAACAGCAGGGGGGCGTGCAAGTGCTGGCTGCAGGGAGGCAGGCGTGCCTTACCCTCAGGGTTGACTTTCTAGGGTCTTTTAGCAAATGTGATGCAATAAAACCCATGTTTTTCAGTAGAGGATCTTGGCTCCAGCCCTGTGACCCTGCTAGCTGCCAGAAGCTGAACACACAGCAGCCAGAGTCCAGCGAGTTGGGACAGCACCAGCGACTTACGTAAGTGACTCCTGTGAGCCTCTTGGCCAAGTGGTAGAAGGCGCCATGGATGTAGAACCAGGCAACGTGGAGCCGCTGGAGGCAGCCGAGGCCCTGCCTGAGCACCGACACCGCCCGCAGAAGCGTCCTCTTCTGCTGCTCTGTCAGGGTGGCCACGTGCTGGCGCACCCAGTGCCTCGATCCCGACCGGCCACGCCCGCCCAGTGCCAGGCTGCCCTGCGAGGGCCTGGCGCCATTGGCGTCAGCCTGCAGCTCGAGCTCCAGGTGCAGCAGGGCCTTGTCCAGCAGGTAGGGCAGGACGGTGTGCAGCACCACCAGCACGCCACGGCGCAGCCCGGAGGGCACTCTGCTCCGGGATGGGTCCACCTGGATGACGCCAACGTACTCCTCCCCGAGGGTCTGGTAGCCTGCCGGGTGAGGGCGTGGGGGTGACCCTCACGAGAAACTGAGGCAGGGGCCTGCCATCCTTTCCTTTCTCCTCGTACTAGATTTTGCTTTCAGGTCCCTGCCTTTCCTCCGAAGAACGACGCTCCACTGGAGCCCCGCTGACCTTGCCCTGTGACAGGGCTTAGTGCTGGGACCCCCGCTGAACCACAGAACTCACCCCCAGAGGTCCAATGGCACTCTGGGCAAAGCTGAGGACAAAGGCTCCCAGGAACACAAAAAGGAAGAGAGGAGGGCACAGATGTGACCCTGGGAGTTTCAGAGGCTCCAGCTGGGGCTCAGGGCCTGGCCTCTCCTCCTCCTCCCTGCCTGAGACTGCGTCTGGGCCAGCTCCAGGGACACGGGGCAGCACCCCCACCCCCAGGCTTGGTGTGTCGTGGGCCCCCTGGTCTCAAGGTCCCACCAGGACTGCTACCTGCAAATGTGGTGAGGCCAAAGTAGGCCACATCGGACAGCAGCTCGACCTCTCTCCTGCACTCCAGCCACCTCTTTGCACCTGAGAGCAGAGGGCGCGGGGGCGCGGTGGTAAGGGTGCAATCCTTCCTTGGCTCCTCCTGCTGCCAGGGTCCAGCCACCCCTCCACCAGGCTGAGACCGTCCTAAAGCACACTCTCCTCTCGGTCCTGGCCTCCGCGCTGCTCCAGGTCTCCCGCCTCCTCTGACAGTCTCCGGAGAACCTCCCCACCTGCAGCCGTGCGCCCCTGCAGGGCCCGCCAGGGTAACCAGACCCCGGAAGGGCCACAGGGCAGGGAGGGCGGGACGGTGACCAAGGACTCGAGCCGAGACTGCCGTCCGGCATCGAGCCCACCCCCCGCTAGCTGGCTGTGTCCTCAGGCAAGTCAAGGGCGTCTACGGAACCCCGAGTTCCCTCCGTAAAACGAGTCCAACGGAGTCCCAGCTGGGAACGTTTCGAGAACGAAACAGGCAGCGTTTGTGAAGCGCCGAGAACGCTACTTGGCACAAAGGAAGCCGAGCTGTAAGGTCACCGCAAGCCGTTCCGCGCCGCTCCGCGCCCCCAGCCCCGCGGTCCCCGCCCGCCGCCCGGACGCACGCCGGGGTCCCTCTCGCCCGCTGCAGGCCCGGGCTCACCCGCCAAGCTGTGCAGGGCGCCGCCCGCCGCGCTGCGCAGCCCGCCGCGGTAGTAGTCGTCCTTCTGCGCCGCGCGGACCACCTCCGCGGGACCGGCGGCCGCGGGCGCCATGTCTGCGGCTCGCCGGGGCCGGGAACCACCTGGCCACGCCCACGAGGGCGGCGCCTGATGACGCCAGCGTGCGGCCCACACCTTGTGCGTCCCAGCGCGGGGGCGGGGCTGACGGGTGCCCCCGCGGGGCGGAGCTGTGCAGGCGTTGAGGGGGCGGCGCGAACGCGGGCGGGGCCGGGGGCGGGGCCGGGGCCGGGGGCGGGGCCGGGCCCGACTCTGGGGCCGGCGGGACGTGATGGGGCTTCCGGCTCCGAAAGCTGATGTGGCGGGTTCGTTGTGAGCCCGGATCGGGGATCCACGGTGACGACGATAAGACAGGCGCCGCTCCTCATCCAGGGGCCCGCCCGGCGCGGGGCTCCGCGAGTCCCGCCCTTGACCGCCCGTAGCGCCCTGCTCACCGAGGAGGGGCCGAGGGAGGCCACACAGCCGAGGGCGAGCGCTGGGAGAGCCCAGTGCCCAGCCGCAGGCCACAGCTGGACTTGAGCTGCGTGGGGGGCGGGGGGGCAGGGGACAGGGAGGTGGGAGGAGGGGGGGGCCCGCTGCGCATCCGTGCCCCGCCTGCTGCCTGGCCGAGGGAGGGCGGGGGTGACCCAGACCGACCTGAGTGGCACCGGGCCTGGCTGGCTGGGGAGGAGAAGCCCCTTGTCCTTTCGGTTCTACGGGGCCGCGGAGCCCCTGAGCCTGCGCGGACCTCGCCCAGGAGGGCGTATAGGGCGGGCAGGCTGCGGCGCCGGGCCTCACCGCTACTCTCCTCCGCGGGAACGCAGCCCACTGACAAGCAGCCAGGCTGCGGCGTGGCCGTGGAGACTGGCCCGGAGCTGATCGGCCGGTCCCCGGGCTGTGGGCGGGCCCCTCTTAGAGGGGCTGCACAGCCTGGCTGGATCCCGTAGTCCCTCCTGCTACTGGAGCCCCCTTGCCCTTTTGGAGACAACCCCCGCCCCTGCCCCTGTTTCCTGGAGACAGAGGCTGCCTGAAGCTTCAGTGGGCAGCCCAGGGTAGACCCTTCAGCGGGAGAGCGGGGGCAGGGGGAAGACCCTGAGGCCTTCACAGATTTCAGACCAACTGCGTCTACCAGTCTGAAACGCTCAGCTCCTTCCTGGTCCCAAAGACGCCCTGGCCCAAGGGTTTGCACAGACACACTCTGTGTCCACCAGCACCCAGCTGGCTTTGGTGGAGGTTTCCTTCCCTCACTGGCTGGTCCCACCCACCAGTGGGTCCTGCTCAGGACTGCCCCTTCCAGGCAGCTCTCCTGCTCAGCCTCACGCCCGGGCAGGGCAAGGCCCGAAACGATGTGACCAAGTGTGTGTTGTTCTGGGCAGGTGGGACCTGGGTCCACCCGGTTTCAGACTCTGTCCAACCCCGGATGCTGCCCCAGGTCCTCACTAAGAGGACTTGGGGTTGGAGTCAGATTGCACAACGGCCAGCAGGTGGCGCCATCGGCCCATCTGCTCCACCAGGTCGGCGGTAGAATTCTAGGGGATTAGGGAGTGCGTTTCACCCCAAAGAGTGACTCTGGATCAGAATTCAAAGAGGTAGCACAGTGACTCTGACCTCCTCTGGCAGGAAGGTAGAGAGCCGTGTGGACCTGCGCCGGGCTTGAGGTGGCCGGCTGGAGTCCAGCCCTGGTGTGGGGCCGCCGTCCTCGGCTGGGCCTGCAGTAAGGGGTTGCTCCGTTTTGAAACCGAGAGTGCTGCTTCCCGTGTCCAGTGGAAGCTGAGCCATTGGCCATGCTGACCAGGAACACTGCCGGGCTGGTCTCGGACCTTACCAGCTGTGACCGCAACAGGCCCTCGGTCCCTTGCAGAGAGCTCTCACATCCGTTCTGCCTTAGCCCCCAGACCTCTTCTCTGCTCTGTGAAATGGGAACGCTGATAGAATCAGCTGGTGTTTATTAGGAGCCTGGGTCACAGGCCACCCTTGGAGCAGGAGTGTGACTCTCAGCACGCAGTGTCCCGTGTCCCTCCTCTGGGAGGCCTGCTCTGGCCCCTCACTGAGCCCTGCTGCATACCCCACCCCCGGGTCCCCCCCTCGTTTCCCACCTCCACCCAGCACCACCCAGCGGCCTAGTGGGCCAGCCAGTGGTCAGCTGGCCGGCTTGTGTGTGTCCCTCTGCTTCACCAGGGAGGCCGGCTTCGCCTGGCATAGCCTTCCTGCTCGGGTGGCCTGGCACACATCGGTGCTCAGGAAAACAGTGCCGGGGGGAGAGAAGGAGAAACCATGTGGGTCAGCTTGCTGCCCCTGTTCTCACTAAGGTGGTCTCAGCATGTGACTCCCTCCCCCAGTCCCCAGGGCTCAGGGTCCCCCCGTCAGGTGCCCGGTGGGGTGCACCCCTGTCCTGGGACTGGGAGTGGGGGTTCCCAGGCAGAGATGTCAACCCAGGGGGCGGAGGTTGGGGGACAGAGGATGCTGGAGAAGCTGTGTGTGTGTCCAGACGCCACACGCCTGGGTGCTGGGCCTGGGTCCCTGACTGGGCAGGCGCCCTGGGGGGGCAGAGCCGAGGAGGGCACTGCTGCCTTTTGAGGGGCGCATCTTCTGGACAAACCTGGAGAACAGGTTCCTCCACCCCGTGGCTTCCTGGAGGGCTTGGCGGCCCAGGAATGCACCTCACTCCACTGGCTGGCATGGGTGGGCAGTGGCCATGGGGTGGGCAGGGGTGGGGGCAGCCTGCAGAGGGGAGGGGAGGGCAGTACATCCAGAAAGAGCCAGGGCTGCACAACGCTGGGACTCCCGCCAGCCCCGCACGCAGAGGCCTCCTGAGCCAAGGGGTGGTCCCATACAGTGCCCAGTCGGGGGGCTTGTTAGGTGGGGTCAGGACAAGGGGCCAGAGTGCGGAGCCTGGGCTTGGGGCTTGGGCTTGTCTGGGAGGTGATGTCGGTGATTCTGGGGCGCGGGTGGGTGGCTGGGGACCAGTGCGTCCTTGTGCTGGTCAGGGATAGGATTTTCCTGGCAGAACTGTGTGTCTGGCAGGAGCAGAGCCAACCTGGTGCTCTGGGGCTCGGGGCCAAGGTCAGGGTTCACGGGAGCCAGGACAGGAATCTGAACTTGGGGGCTGAGGAAGGAATGTGGCAGAGCTCAGAGAGGCTGTCCTTTGGTTAAAGCAGGCACCGGGTGAATCCCAGCTCTGTCTGGTCCCACATCTGTACCCTAATGGTTTTGCCTGTTGCTGGGTGGGGGTGGGGTCTCCACGTAGGTGCGGCCATCATCCTGGGCGGAGCTGTTGGTATAAGACACTGAGGGCCCAAGGAAGAAACAATTCAGGAGGGCTTCCTGGACAAGGAGGCTTTGCACCGGCAGAAGGAGAGGGAGGACTCTATCCAGACAAGAGGTGATGGGTCATCCGCCCAGCCTCCTGTGGGGCTGGAGGGAGAAAGAAAGTGGCGGGGGGAGGCCAGGCCCCTGCAAGGTGGGGTGCCCAGAAGAGTGAGGACCCATGGACCACGGAGAGCCCGACAGGGAAGCCTCAGCGGCGCCACAGGCTGGGCAGGGTGTTGGGAGCGGCACCGGTCACTCCAGCCAGGGGCGTGGCCTCCATCCCGGGGTGCGGGGAGGTCAGGCCCTGTCATGGGGCCATGTCCTGGGTGGGGCTGTGGGCAGGCGGTCACTGTCGAGGGACTGAGTGCTGGAGGCTTCTTGGAGACACTCTCTCGGGGTGCCGCTGTCCTCGTAGCCGCCTCTTCATCGTGGGGAGCGGGGGACGGGGCTGCCGCATCTGCACAGCGGTGCGACCCCCGGCAGGTCCCCACCTTTCCTGGGCCTCGGTTTCCTCTTCTGCCCAGGGAGGCCGTAGAGGCGCTCACCTCCCCGGGCTCTGGGAACCGCAGGGCGTGTGTGCACGGTGCTGGCCGGCCTGGGCCCTGGGGGGCTGAGTGGCTTGGGGTCCTGGGAAGTGGGGGCCGCAGGGGGTAAAAGCCTCCATGGGCAGAGCAGGGGTTTGTCTGTGGACTCGGTGTCGGTGCCGGTGCTGGGGGGGGGGTCAGTCTGGGGGCGCTCCAGACCTGCTCCCTGCTCTGTTCCCAGCAGGTGCTGGCCCACAGCAGGGGCTCCCCGCTGTGGTAGGGGAGGGACTGCGTGGACGGGTGACGGCAGGGCAGGACAGGTGCTCCGGGGGACCCAGGGCCGCGGCCCATCCTGCCCGTGTCTCTTCCAGGTCAGGGCTCTGGGAGCACTGCGCTCAGCTTCAGTGCTCCTTCGGTTGGTTTCTGAACGTGGGGTGTGCAGATCTCCAACCTACAGGCGTCAGCAGCGGCCAAGGGCAACAGCTCCTCCCTGCTCCCCTGGCCCAGCTCAGGGTGCACTCCGGTGAGCCAGAAAGAGGCAGACGGGGTATCTTAGCTTCAGAGTTGAAGAACTGAGGCTATGGAAAGCCCATGGCCTTCCCAGTCTCAGATGTGAGAGTCTGGAAGTGACAAGGCCTGTGGGGCCTCGTGCGCACGCGGGACAGATGCTCCTGCCCAGTGGAGATGCCCGAGTGCAGCCCCGGGGGTGGCCTGAGTGTGCGCGGGGTTCTCCTGGGAGTGGAGAGGCCAGTGGGCAGGGGCTGAGGTCTCCAGCAAAAGGCCCTGGGTACACCCCCACCCCGGGAAACTCCTTGTGGTGGCCCGATTATTGGCTATAAACTGACAAACAGGTGTGATCTACCACACGTGTCACCAAAGGCCAGGGCCGAGGGGGACCCACTGGATTTGGTGGCTCTGGGCATGTGGTGGGGCTGAACGCCCTTACAGGTCAGAGCCTGGTCCCTGCCTCACCACCCCCTGCAGCACCGAACCTCCAGAGTCTCCCCAGTGCCTGGAGGACAGAGTTCTAGGTCTGACCTTGGCACTGGAGGCCCCATGGATATTATGGGCACCTGAAAAGCGGGGATGCAGGAACACAGGTGACTTGTTAGGTGAACGCTGCCCCCGCCCGTGAGCATACCTCCAGGTACCGCCTCGTCCAGGACCGTCCCTCCAGTCTGCTCCCCTGCTCCACATGCCTTCGCAGGCGTGACCCCCCTCCTCAGTCCTTTATGATCTGGGTA